CCCCCTGATTGAATTGATTCAACGCACCGACCTCATATCTATGTTGTGTCTCAATCAGAGAAACATGGTACGATGTCTCTAGCTAGACCAAGCTTTTGTCACCGACCTTGCCTCCACCGACGACTTAGAAGCTAAAACTCATGGCTCCCTTATTTGATCTCCATTCTTGCAATTAAAGGTGTTTTTTTCTTGCTGATCTTACCCCTCTCTTGTGGAAATCAAAAAAAACCAAAAGATGAGATGATGTAAAATGAAGACCCAAAGAATATTTAAACCAATGTCGAGAAGATGAAGTGGTGGCCGAGCGATGTCATCAGATGTCTTGACTCCTAGAACCACACCCTCTATTAGCGGGTTTCGTTTGTGAGAGATTTGATTTTAGGATGTATATGTGAGAGGTTTCAGTTGCAAGTAAAGGTGAGGAAGAAGAAGATGGGAGGGGTGGTGATGAACCTGCATCAACGATATGAATCTTCCTTATCAGATCGTTCAATAACAATGTGTGTTTGGGGGTTGAACCAACAATTGTTTATGAGCCTCACACCAGAAACAATATCTAAATCTGTAAACATGTGTGTTGATCTAAAATGGAGGTGCACTAACTTTCTGAGATAATCTCCTCCTTCTTCAACACATAAACAAATACACACAATACAATTAATGTTGATTTCGTAAGGGTGTGTTGATTTAGCCATCGGTTTGACTTGGAAACTGAATCAAAGTTGTTATGTGTGAGAGTGTGTGTTTAGTGTGGAGAGAGAGAGATATATAGATAGATAGAGAGAGGAGAGAGAGAGAGAGAAAGAAAGGTGGAGGTGGGTGGGGCTAATCCTTTTCTTCCTTTTTTTTTAAGTTAAAATGGTATTATTATTATAAAAAATACAAAAAAGAAAATGAAAGTGCATAACCGTCATTTCAAATTTTTTTGGACAAAATCAAAGGAAGTTTTTGATTTGGGACCTTTCATGCAAGTCGGAAACCGTTTTTGGACCCTATCCAAAGTTTTTATGAAACCACAAGGACCAATTTACAGTTTTGTCTTTTTTTTTTTCAAATATTTAGTCAAAATAATAGAACTATAATTTTATAAATTATAAATCAAAAAATTTGAATTGGCTAAATATATAAAAACGATATATATCATTATCGAATATATCGACGTCCTAGTTAAATTCAACATTGATAACTAACATCCGAATATATATGATTTTTATTAGTCGAAAATACGGGTGTTACACAGGGTTTGTTACGACATGAAAATTATAATATATTGTGTATTTGAATCGTAGTAGTATCGAGAAGTAATACAATGAACACATGAATACAATGATGAATCAATGCTTGAGCAGGAGAATACAATTATAACAAAAATAGCACCTAGACCAAGTATAGATACATGAATGACAAAATAGGTAATATTAATATAATGCTTCAAAAGTTTGTGTGCATTGTTTAAGTACTGTCTATTACAAGTGTGATGGTAAAATACAGACAAAACTGCAAAAATGGTCCCTATGGTATCAATTTTTTTTGAGGTTTAGTTCAAATCTCGATTTTTTTGGTTTCATGGTCCTTTTGAGGTAGTTTGTTTGTGTTTTGGTCCCTCGGTAAACTAAAATGACTGTAATTCCCTTATGATATATATATAATATATTATATATATATATATATTATATATTTTATGTTCTTTCTATTTAATTTAAATGAAAAAGAAAATAGATGATTAATTTGGACCCACATCTCTCTCTCCCTCTCTTTTTCTCTCGCACTGCTACCTGGAGGAACACATTTGAAGACACATAAATTCTTTTGGGGAACATGATGAACACATTTATCATACATGATGAACATAGATTAATTTCTTCTGAAAATCGATTGTAAAATCATGTTTTGAAGACACAAAAATCATCTCTGTAACACCATCACACACAACACACGAAGATCTTTGATTTTTTGAACATGTTTTTGGAAACACACACACACATACACCTGTGGGTTCATAGATGAATATGACAATCTGGGTTCATAGATGAACACGGTGAATAGAAACGACAATCTGGGTTCATAGATGAACACGGTGAACACAAACCTGTAAATCGATTTATGGGTTTTGTTAGGGCCGAAAAAGGTTGATTTCGAGAGCTTATCCATAGATGAACAAGGTGAACACACACACACACACACCATATTTCACAAAAATTAGTCAAATTCTGTTTGCAAGTTGTAAATCGATAGATTTAAGATGCAAGTGATGAATTCAAACAAACTTTTATTGTTCTTGATTTGCTCGATTTCTCAAGGTCATCATCTGAGGGTTTACCGAGATGAACACACACACCTACACACATTGTTTTTGAGAGATGAGGGATTGAATGTTTTTCAGAAATCATTTTAGAGACGAGGTCTTTAGCGTTTTTCAGAAACGATTTCAGAGATGAGGCAGGTCTTGAGCTTATTTCATTCTCTCAAAAATCAAATCCCCAAAGTGAATCCCATGTTTCAGGTTCTGATTATCGTCATCATTGCGATTGGTGTTGCCAATTCGAAGAAGAACAAGCAGATTATCCAACTCACTAAGTCTATTGATTTATGGCAGATTTAGGGGGTTGTTGGGTGAGATTTACAAGCAAGATCGGATGCGAAATCAAGGATTTTCACTAGGGGTTCTTGTTGTGAAATTACCTGAAGCCATTGAAATCCTTTTGTAGAAGACGATGAACCGTACTCAATTTTGATTTCTAGATTTTTGGATTTCAAGGGGAAGAAGAAGTTTATCAGAGCCAACGATCACCACCAGAGCAAGGAAAGAATGAGCAAGACCACAAATTCGCAAATGTAGTGGAGCATGACAACAAAAAAATCTGGATAAAGTAGTTAGACCAATGTGGGGCTGCAATTAGGTGGTTTGGGTTGGGGGTTGAGAGAGAGAGAGAGAGAGAGAGAGAGAGAGAGAGAGAGAGAGAGAGAGAGAGAGAGAGAGAGAGAGAGAGAGAGAGAGAGAGAGAGAGAGAGAGAGAGAGAGAGAGAGAGGTGTTTACCCCACCCTTATTTTTTTAATTATTAAAATAAATAAAGAAATAATAGATTTAAAAAAATGAAAGAAAAATAGAAAATAAATACCCAAGGGTATTATAGTCATTGAAATATTCGCAGGAACAATTTCCACATAGAGTTCCACATAGAAACATGGCCAAAAAGACCATGAAACCAAAAAAGTTAAGGTTTTGACTAAATCTCAGAAAAAATGTATACCATATGGACAATTTTTATAGTTTTGTCTAAAATATATCTAAGGCTGAGGGAGTGTCCTTCGCCAGAAACTCACCTCGAGCTTGCCACTCTCGCCATGACCACTCCCATCAGATGCGCTACTTGCCTCGCCAAATATGGCTTGCCGGCCAGACTACCGGATAGCTAGTGGAAAGTGAAAGATAAGGGAAAGGGAAAGGCGACGAGACTACCGGATAACTAGTGGAAAGTGAAAGATAAGGGAAAGGGAAAGGTTGTGATTGGTTTATTATTTTTTTTTTAATTTTTTTTTCAAAATAAAATCCTTCAACATTTAGATGCTACTATTCCATATCTTTTACAACTTGGATGCTACCACTCTCCCATTATATGTGACATAAAAAAAATCTTATGTGACAACATGCTAAACATATTACCATTCTTACCGCCTAAAAGTTGTATTCCTTCCAACAAATTCTCACATTTTTAAGTACAAGTGAATGTTTGGCATTGGCATGCTAAGCATTCATGATGCTTTATATTACTTTTAAAGCAAGTTGACGGCGGCTAACATATTTAATTAAGATAACCAAATTCTTCGATAAACATGACACAAAGGACAATCTGTTCTTTTGACTCCATAGGCCAAAGAAAATGACTCTGCAAGTTTCTATATTTTATCGTGTCAAATATGCTTCGCATAATCACATCTGCACCCTATATAAACCAGGCTTTAGTCTCACTTCATATGCACTCACAACAACGATGACCACCTCTACAATTTCCACTTTCCTCCTCTTGGTTCTTCTTTTCCGCTTCACCAATGCAGCCATTTTTGACATCCGAAACAACTGTCCATACACTGTCTGGGCTGGAGCAGTGCCCGGCGGTGGTCAACAGCTTAATCCAGGTCAAACCTGGTCTTTAAATGTGGCAGCAGGCACATCACAAGCTCGTATATGGCCACGTACCAACTGCAACTTTGATGGGTCGGGTCGAGGTTCGTGTCAGACCGGTGACTGCAACGGCCTCCTTCGGTGCCAAAACTATGGCACCCCACCTAACTCATTGGCTGAATACGCGTTGAATCAATATATGAATCTTGATTTCTTTGATGTTTCTCTCATCGATGGATTCAACGTGCCAATTGAATTTAGCCCTAACTCTGGTGGGTGCACCCGTGGCATCAAATGTACTGCGGACATCAATGGCCAGTGCCCTAATGAGTTAAGAGCTCCTGGTGGTTGCAATAACCCTTGCACTGTGTACAAGACGGATGAATATTGTTGTAACTCAGGGAACTGTGGGCCGACTTATTTTTCAAGATTTTTCAAAGATCGATGCCCCGATGCTTATAGCTACCCCAAGGATGATCAAACTAGCACGTTTACATGCCCTGGTGGAACAAACTATAGGGTTGTGTTTTGCCCTTCCAACGCTATTCAAAATATAGCTAGTGATATATAAAGATGATCATAGTCTAATTATTAGGCTTGCTTCTTAATAATTTGTAAAAGCATAAAAACACCAGCTTTGGAGTGTTCATGACCCACGTAATAAAAGATTATACACTTAATGTGTTTGGTTTCAACAAACTTAAGAAGAAACACAAAACATTACTTATGAATTTAACTGCATTTTTTGAATGGAAAGGCTAATAGATTTATAGTGAAATGTAGGAAATTGAAATTTGGGATTAAATTGAACATCCTCCCATATTAATCCATTGGTAGACTGATCATTTCTATATTCTCCATCAACATATAAATGCTTTATACATGAGTAATTTGTGAGAATTTCCACGACTTGATCATCATACATGTAAAATTCCACTTCTATATATATATATATATATATATATATATATATATATATATATATATATATATATATATATATATATATGCTTGTTTCTTCCACATAGAATGAGATTCTTGGCCAGTTTAACTAGTGTTATTCATGTCTGATGGCTGGGTTGACCAATGAAAAAAATGGACTGATTCTACTTTTTTTTTATATCATCAAACTTAGATAACTATGTTGCTATTATTTGTAAAAAATATGCTTGACACCAATATAGGTTACATATTGTAATTATAAGCAAAAACAAAAAATGTAAGTAAAATGGTATTATTAGTAAAAAAATAAAGTATGCCGCCTATATTGGAAAAAGGAGTAACACAAACAGTAACAATTACAAAACCCTACTCCCATTAGAATGAGGTAAGGAGGAGGTAAGATGGTAGGAAGTCGAAACTGTTTCCAGAAAAGATATCCTGCAAACAAAACATAAAATAAATAAAGAAATATAAAAAAGATAAAACGCCTTGTCGTCAGGTAAGATCTCATGCATATTAACATGTCGGTACACTATGAAACAATACAAAAAATATATATAAATATATAATTAAATAAATTAAATAGGCAGTGGTTAGTGGTTAATAAGTTAATGAAAAAAAACATGTATAATCAATAAAGAAGAGAATAAATATGGGTAAGAGAAAAACATGAGCACATTGTATGTATACACAGTAGTGTAAGTAAATGGTAGCAATAAGCAGGGAAAAACACTAGCTTATCACTTGGAGCAAACATTATCAAATACATTAGGCAGGAAAAAGGGAACCAAGGACAAACTCATAAGATTATAAGTGCAAAAAACAAAGGCCGACCAGAAAAGACTACAATTACAAACACTATAAGCAAAATACTAGCAATAAAACATTGATAAGTCTCCCTTAAGCATGCAACATATAATAACAAATACAAGCAACCAGTAAATAGAGAACAATAGGGGATAATAGCAAAAAGCGTAAAGTAAGTTGCCATTTACTAGAATTTGGCGAAAAAAGGAAAACCCATAATTACATTTCATCTTCAAAGAATTGCATTAGGTACAATAATATTTTGCCATTGAAAGTCCGTTACTTGAAGGGGTTGAACAATTTGGTTCCAACTGGTTTAATTTTGAGGCAGTTCATATACAATATTTTGTTACCTCTCTTTTTTCTTTAAAAACTATTTTAAAGATCCCTTACTCTCTAAGGGTTGTCAAATACCCATCTAGCCATCACGAACCATACCATAATGGTCAATTGCAAAAAAAAAAAAAAAAAAAAAAAAGCCTAAAAATCTAAAAAACAAAACAAACGGTTGACCAATTTCAGATGGGTTGTTAGTGTAGACTATTGGATTTTCTTGGATTGTATAGGTGGATGAGAAAAAAAAACATTTTTCTTTAATGAGTTAATGAACTTGAAAGGTAAATAACTTTGTTCTTTGTTCACATTAAGGTAACCATGTTTTTTTCGTATACATTTGATCATTGAAGTTGGTTGACCTGTTCAAAATAAGGTAATATGACTGGTAATTAGCGGTAACATTACCCTATTATGAACAGGTCTAATAAGTTTACTGGTCAAATGTGTACGAAAAAAACATGGTTACCTAAATATAGACAAAAACCAAAGTTCCTTACCCATTTTGGTAATATTAGGTTTTTTATGTTAATTGCATGTAGTCATAAGATCCATTGATGTGACATGAAATTGGGTTGTCCGGTCTTTATGTATGAGGAAATGGTCAAGTCTTGGACCAACCCAGTTTAGGCCCAACTAGTTATGGGTTAGGTTGTATACGCTTAAGGGGCTACGTGTCACACCTCCGAACCAGACGACAGAAACGCCCAGGGGCTCGTGTGACTAACAATTGAATAATCATCACAATGAATATACATGAATCATAACACGATCATCACCAACATTACATAATACAACTGACATTGTTTACATCAAGTACATTGTTAAAATACATAAGTTCACATTTTTAAAAGTACGATAAGTACTGTTACATAAAACAAAACCATACACACTTGCATATTTTCCAGCTTAACGATTACCTGAGAATACAAGTTATTTTGAAAACGGTCAACATATATAATGTTGGTGAGTTCATAAGTATGTTTGAGTAAAAGTCTTTAAATCTTTCATAAATACCCAGAAAATCCGATATTTTCTGTAAAATGTCTGAAAATGTTGTGAAAATCAAGTGTAAATGCATGTGTGAATTTCATAGTTATTGTTTATAAGAGAGTAGTTTAGTTTCATTGTATTGTGAATATATGATAAATGTATATGAATAATTTCCCCCAGAAAATCCGATATTTTCTGTTTTATAACAAATGTCTAGATTCATGTATCGTTAAATAAGTTGTTTTGTATCGACACAATCAAAGAGTTTATCTTCGAAAGTTTACTTTTGGTATTGAATCCCTATATGAGCCGTTATAACCATGCATGATAATGACTAGGTCGCCAGTCTTGGTATTTTTCCAAATGTCGGTCTTGCTAAGGATGTTGTCGCCCTAGACTGGCCTAGTCTAGCTGTAGCGAACAGCTAAGGCGTGGGGGTCACCCCGTATAGATCTATACACAAACTCCCGCTATCCTACCAGGAAACTTGGCCACATAAGGGTATCGTTATGGCATACTAACACATGAAATTTCTATTCCAAGCCCTATTAGTATGAAATTTGGCCACAAAGGCCCAATCACATGTAAAAGGGTAATTTAGGCCCAATAGGCATGTAAATGGGCCACAAAAGCCCAATAAACATGTAATCCATAACTTAGACCCAAATTAACATGTAAGTGGGCCACAAAGCCCAATAAACATGTCATGGAAAACATTGGGCTCAATACAAACTTAATTGGGCCCTTAGGGCCCAATGGCCAAGTAATGTTGATATTAGGCCCAATAAATAGTTATCGATGTATTTCGTTCGTTCGTTTTTATTCTGTTGTTCGTTTAGCTTGAGGTTTGCTAGATTGATGAAAAGAAGCTTTCATTTTGTAAAAATGACATTTTTGGCCAATAATCCTCCAATTTTTGCTTAAGGCCCAAAGTTTTGTAAAAATGACACTTTAGTCCATAATTTATAAAAATTTGTAATTTTGTCCCAAATGTCTAGAAACTTACGGTTTTAACCCAAAATGTTATATTTTCACATTTAGAACCCTGTTTCGCAGAAAAATACATTTTCAGCCCCTTGTTTGTAAAAGTTTACGTTTTCGGCCCAATTTTGGAAAACTTTATATTTTTGGTCCAATTTGAAAATAAATGATATTTTCACCTCTAAATTTGGTTTATTTACATTAATGACTCAAACTTTGGCCAAATAAAATTTTTAAACCTTAAAACTTCATTTTTTCGCAAATTGGGCCCAAGGCCGTGAGGCCCAAAAGTTTTGGCCCAATAAGCTTAAATTTGCATTTTTGGCCCTTTTAAAAGTATGTTTAGCATAAAAATACATTTTTATACATGTAGGACCTGTTTGGCCCTTTTAAAAACAGAATTTTCACTTTTTACCCTTATCTTTTGTTTTCTTGACAATTTTGACCTTTAACAAGGTTTTTGTTGAATTCTTTTGCATATTAAACTTGTGTTCACTTTTGGCTTGATAATATGATGTATATAGTGTTGTAGTTCTTAGATCGTTGCTACATAATACTTAAAATTTCGAGATTCACTAAGATCTAACACATTTTTACCAAATAAACTAAGAGTTCACACAAAACATGCATATAACACATAGATCTACACTTTTTACTTGCATTCTCCCCCAAAAATCATATGAAAACCAAAAACAAGGGGGTATGAACTCACCTTTGCTTGATGTTTCGGTTTTTGGAAGAAGAAGTGGAAATATGAAGTGATTTTCGGCCCTAGCAACCCCCTTGAGTAGATCTCAAACTTAAGAAGATTTCTAGGAGTATGATCACCAAATACTTTGTTTAAAAGAGTGATCTATCATGATGATGGAGTTATAAAAGTTGCATGTATAAAGGCTTACCAAGAATGATGATTATCTTGTGAAAATCCTCTTGAAACCTAAGCAAAATCTTGAGAATTTTGGAGGAAGAAGATGGATGATTCTTGAGAGTAATGGACAGAATTTGTGTAATGTGTGTGTGTGTGTTTGTTGTCTTCGGCCGAGAGAATAAGAGAGGGGAGAGAGAGAGAGATGAGGTGACAAGCATGGATGCATGGGAGGTCTTCACCTTGATATATGTTGGATATTATAGAGGTGGCACTCCAAAGTCAACCCCCCTAATTCTTCTCCTTTTCTTTTTTTCTTTTCTTTTTTTTTGTTTTATACATGGGCCGAGATTTTGGGCTAGGAGGAAAGATTAGATTGGGCCCATTAACTTTAGCTAGGATACTTGGACCCTAAACATAAGGTTTTTCGGCCCATTGGGCTCTTGGAGGCATTCACGGCCCACATAGAATAAAAGAATGGGCTTATGGCTCACTAAGGTTAAATGGATTAATTATGGCCCAATAAGGCCCATTAGGGTTAGAATGAATCATTTTAGACCCAAATTGCCCAAATTGTTTTAGATTTATGAATTGGGTCCAAGTAGGATCCAATTAGGGCTTCTAAGTCCAATAAGGTTGAACTGGGTGCT